TAGTTGTGCTTGCGGGGGTTGAGCTCTGGCTCTTTGGTCCCGCCTCTCAACCGTCAATCAACTGGTGTACAGATTCCTGAGCCTACTGGGCTCTATCATATCTACATTAAAACTGTGTATGGAGTCAGCCTCCACCACATCACTTCCTAATGCATTCCATTTACTAACTACTCTGACACTGAAAAAGTTCTTTCTAACGTCTCTGTGGCTCATTTGGGTACTCAGCTTCCACCTGTGTCCCCTTGTTCGCGTCCCACCAGTGTTGAATAGTTCATCCTTGTTTACCCGGTCGATTCCCCTGAGGATTTTGTAGGTTGTGATCATGCCCCCCCTTACTCTTCTGTCTTCCAGTGTCGTAAGGTGCATTTCCCGCAGCCTTTCCTCATAACTCATGCCTCTTAGTTCTGGGACTAGTCTAGTAGCATACCTTTGGACTTTTTCCAGCTTCGTCTTGTGCTTGACAAGGTACGGGCTCCATGCTGGGGCCGCATACTCCAGGATTGGTCTTACATATGTGGTGTACAAGATTCTGTATGATTCCTTACACAGGTTCCTGAACGCCGTTCTGATGTTAGCCAGCCTCGCATATGCCGCAGACGTTATTTTCTTTATGTGGGCTTCAGGAGACAGGTTTGGTGTGATATCAACTCCTAGATCTTTCTCTCTGTCTGTTTCATTAAGTACTTCATCTCCTATTCTGTATCCTGTGCCTGGCCTCCTGTTTCCACTGCCTAGTTTCATTACTTTGCATTTACTCGGGTTGAACTTCAACAGCCATTTGTTGGACCATTCACTCAGTCTATCCAGGTCATCTTGTAGCCTCCTACTATCATCCTCTGTTTCAATCCTCCTCATAATTTTTGCATCGTCGGCAAACATTGAGAGGAACGAATCTAATGTGTGTGTGTGTGTGTGTGTGTGTGTGTGTGTGTGTGTGTGTGTGTGTGTGTGTGTGTGTGTGTGTGTGTGTGTGTGTGTGTGTGTGTGTGTGTGTGTGTGTGTGTGTGTGTGTGTGTGTGTGTGTGTGTGTGTGTGTGTGTGTGTGTGTGTGTGTGTGTGTGTGTGTGTGTGTGTGTGTGTGTGTGTGTGTGTGTGTGTGTGTGTGTGTGTGTGTGTGTGTGTGTGTGTGTGTGTGTGTGTGTGTGTGTGTGTGTGTGTGTGTGTGTGTGCGGGCGTGAGCATGTGCGTGCGGGGGTGAGTGTGTGTGTACGAGCGTAAATTGCAATGCGGTTGAGTGGTAGTAAAGAGGATGTGTGGGTCCATTCTATGATTGGTTTGTTTACAACTGCGGGCCAATACCGTCCATTCCCTGTTTACCGCCATAACAGCTGTTTGTACCTGGTAAATGACCTCACCTGCTAACAATCGTTTGTCTACACTTATGAAAATATATTTTTAGATATGTTTCCTTCATTTATGGACGGATAAAGACGTTTAAAGAGGACGTGTTAAAGGCTTGCCTGCGAGCTTGCCTAAAGAGTGCCTGTCAAATACTTGCCCTAAGAGTACCTGGCAAATACTCGCCCTAAGAGTACCTGTTAAATACTTGCCCTAAGAGTACCTGGCAAGTACTCGCCCTAAGAGTACCTGGCAAATACTCGCACTAAGAGTACCTGGCAAATACTCGCCCTAAGAGTACCTGGCAAGTACTCGCCCTAAGAGTACCTGGCAAATACTCGCCCTAAGAGTACCTGGCAAATACTCGCCCTAAGAGTACCTGGCAAGTACTCGCCCTAAGAGTACCTGGCAAATACTCGCCCTAAGAGTACCTGGCAAATACTCGCCCTAAGAGTACCTGTTAAATACTTGCCCTAAGAGTACCTGGCAAATACTCGCCCTAAGAGTACCTGCCAATTACTTGCCCTAAGAGTACCTGCCAAGTACTCGCCCTAAGAGTACCTGTCAAATACTCGCCCTAAGAGTACCTGTCAAATACTCGCCCTAAGAGTACCTGTCAAATACTTGCCCTAAGAGTACTTGTCAAATGCTTGCCTAAAGAGTACTTGTCAAATGCTTGCCTATGGTGTACTTGTCAAATGCTTGCCTAAAGAGTACTTGTCAAGTGGTTGCCTAAAGAGTACTTGTCAAGTGGTTGCCTAAAGAGTACTTGTCAAGTGCTTCCCTAAAGAGTACTTGTCAAGTGGTTGCCTAAAGAGTACTTGTCAAGTGCTTCCCTAAAGAGTACTTGTCAAGTGGTTGCCTAAAGAGTACTTGTCAAATGCTTGCCTATGGTGTACTTGTCAAATGCTTGCCTAAAGAGTACTTGTCAAGTGGTTGCCTAAAGAGTACTTCTCAGATGCTTTCCTAAAGAGTACTTCTCAGATGCTTTCCTAAAGAGTACCTGTCAAATACCTGCCTAGAGAGAACCTGTCAAATGCCTGCCTAGAGAGTACCTGTCAAATGCTTGTCTAAACAGTACCTGTCAAGTGCTTGCCTAAAGAGTACCTGCCAAATACTTGCCTAAAGAGTACCTGTCAAATGCTTGCCTAAAGAGTAGTTGTCAGATGCTTGCCTAAGGAGTACCTGTCAAATGCCTGCCTAGAGAGTACCTGTCAAATGCCTGCCTAGAGAGTATCTGTCAAATGCTTGTCTAAACAGTACTTGTCAAGTGCTTGCCTAAAGAGTACCTGTCAAATACTTGCCTTAAGAATACATGTCAAATGCTTGCCTAAAGAGTACCTGCCAAATACTTGCCTAAAGAGTACCTGTCAAATACTTGCCTAAAGAATACCTGTCAAATACTTGCCTAAAGAGTACTTGTCAAATGTTTGTCTAAAAAATACTTGTGAAATGCCTGCCTAAAGAGTACTTGTCAAATAGTTGCTTAAAGAGTGCCTGTCAAATGCTTGCCTAAAGAGTACCTGTCAAATGCTTGCTTATAGAGTGCCTGTCAAATGGTTGCCTAAAGGGTACCTGTCAGATGGTTGCTAAAAGAGTACCTGTCAAATGGATGCCTAAAGAGTACCTGTCAAATGGTTACCTAAAGAGCACCTGTCACATGGTTGCCTAAAGAGTACCTGTCAAATGGTTGCCTAAAGAGTACCTGTCAAATGGTTGCCTAAAGAGTACCTGTCAAATGGTTCTCTTAAACTGTTTGTCTCAGTCATGTTAACTGTCAACCCGTTCCACTCATCCGTAACCCTATTTTCAAACCACTATTACCCTATTTCCTAACCACTAATTCCTATTTCCTAACAAGTAGTTCATATTTTCGAAAGAATATTTCCTATGTTGACCAGACAACACACTAGAAGTTGTCGACTTGAGAATGGTCCAGGACGGACCGAAACGTCGTCGTCCCTTCAACTTCTAGTGTGTGGTCTGGTCAACATACTTCAGCCACGTTATTGTGACTCATCGCCTGCCGGAATATTTCCTATTTCCAAACGAGAACTTCCCTATTTCCAAACGAGTACTTCCCTATTTCCAAACGAGTACTTCCCTATTTTCAAACTAGTACTTTTTATTCGTAAACCTGTACTGCCTATTTACATACCAATACTCAATATTTCCAAACCATTACTTCCCATTTTCAAACCAGTGTTTCCCTATTTCGAAATACCTACTTCCCTGTTTCTCAGCCAGTACTTCCAATTCTCTGTTTTATCGCCCTTTCTTGATTTCCAAGACAGAACTTCATATTTCCAAAGTAGAGCTTCACTGGTTCAGTATTAAGACACTCCCCAACAGTACTTACTAATTCCAGTACTTCCCTATTTCCAAATCAGTTCTTCCCATTACAAAAATTTTCATTTCACTATTTAAAACTCAGACCTTCCAATTTCGATGCCAATAATTCTTATCTCCAAAAGACTGCTTGTCTGTGTTCAAACCAATAGTTCCCTATTTACATAAGAATACTTCCTTTTTACAAAATAGAGGTTCGCTATTTACTAAGTAGTACTTCCATATTACCTAACCAATACTTCCCTATGATAAACACTGTATTTCACTATTTCCTAGTCAAAACTTCCTATTTCCAAGCCAATACTTCCTTTTTTTTTTAATTTATGTTTCTAAGACAGTAGTTCCTCATTTCCAACACACTATTTCCCTATTATATAAATTTTATTTTAATATTTCCAAGTCTAAACTTCCTATTTCCAACCCAGTACTTCCTATATCCTGAATATTGCTTCTCTATTTCCAAACCAATACTTCCCTATTACGAAAACTATATTTCACTATTTCCAAGTCATTCCTTTCCTTAATTCTACCCCAATTCCCTATCCTCATATCCTACGTCTTTTTTCAAACGAGTTGTTCCCTATTTTCATCACAGTACTTCCTATTTCTAAAATAGTGCTTTGCTTCATCCAACCCACACATCTGACACACACATTCCACACACACATGACACATATCCCACATATCTGACAAATCCCACACATTTGACAACCAACCCACACATCTGGCACACATCCCACACATATGACAACCAACCCACACATGTGACACACATCCCACACATGTGACAACCAACCCACACATGTGACAACCATCCCCCACATGTGACAACCATCCCCCACATATGGCAACCAACCCACACATCTGACAACCAACCCACACATCTGACAAATCCCACACATATGAAAAAATCCCACACATATGCCAACCAACCCACACATCTGACCCACATCCCACACATCTGACCCACATCACACACATCTGACAACCAACCCACACATTTGACACACATCCCACACACGCACATGGCATATCCCACACATCTGACACACACATCCCACACATCTGACAACCAACCCACACATCTGAAAATGAAGATCCTAGGACGCTTCGGTCCGTGTAATTGGTTCCAATCCGGTACTTCCCTATTTCCAAGATAGTGCTTCCCAATTGACAAAAGAGTAGTTGCCCCTATTCTCAAGCCAATACTTCCTATTTCCAAGCCAGGACCTGAATATTTCCCTCCCTGATATGAATTCCAATTTATTGCGAACGTTCGGAGCATGAATTACCTCTCAGGTGAAATGTAATGTTGCAAAGCAATGGAGTGCACGATTCGTTCTTTGCTAAATGTCTGTTGAACGTGAACATTTTCGTGATATAACGGATGTTAATATTAGCTATATATATATATTTACTGTTTTTGGCATTAACAGGTTAAATTCTTTTGGATAACGGTATTAAATCCAAGTCAAGATGATTAGTATTGCATGGAGGACCAAGAGTACTGTGAGGCGCGTCTGGAGTGACGGTCCTGAGACAGTGTGAGGATGGACAGCACCGTCCATGGATAACATAGGCTCCTTTAGCCGCGTCAACATGTAAAGCCTGTCCTTGGCTTGCTCCGTCGTCCACAATGCTCACGATGAAGCATTCGCTGGTAGCTGTCATTCTCCTGTCCATTGTTCTCCGTCTCGGAGCCACCCATCAATTCCAGACGTTCGACAACGGGCAAATATCCCCCATAGGGAACCTGGAACACCTGGTGAGATCTCTACAGAAGGAAGTCACTGACATCAGGAAGGAAGTTCACACGCGCATGGATACTATGAAATACGAACTGACCTGCGAGATCCGCAACATGAAGGAGGCGCTCTCGAAGGAGCGAGAAGAAATGAGTGCTAAGGTGGATCAAGTAGCACTTGAAATGACCGATTTCAAGAAGAAACTCAAGAGAGGACTTAGGAGGGTCGGCACACAGAACGACGACATTAAGGGCGAGTTAAGGTCGCAAAAGGCGGAACTCTTCGCCGTCAGAAATAGTGTGTACGACGCCAGGGAGGAAGTATTAGACAAAGGGAACTTGATACTTCGCAAGGTTAACGCCACCAACGGAACTCTAGTCTGTCACTTGAGCGATCTACGCACCAAGCTCTACAAGATCAACAACAACCTGGCGTTCATCTCGGACGAGCACAAGAAGATGATGGAGGTGATGAGTCGAAGATACACCCACCCGAAGACTTACACTGGCGAGGACGCCGAGCGACTCCTCCCTGGATGCACATACACGCCCCTCGACACTCACGAACTCGGTCTTGATTCCCTCAACAAGACTTTCCTTAACGAGTCTCTGACGAAGACCGTGAGTGGTTTAGACAGCGACCACCCTGACAAAACCACCTTACCCACTGAGGACACATCACCGGAGGTCACCCTCCTGCCTACTATGCCCGAGGATTGCAACGACGATAAGAGGAAGTACCTCGAGTACCCACCGATGCCTCGCGACTGCAAAGACGTCTTCGATCTGGGATTCATGGAAGATGGAGTGTACCGCATCCAGCCTCCGGGGCTTTCGTCTCGCGAGGTGTACTGTGACCACCACACCGCCGGCGGAGGCTGGACTGTCATGGTGGCAAGACGCAAGCTTCCAAGACACATCTCCTTCAACCGCACTTGGCACGAGTACGAGGTTGGGTTCGGTGACCCCAGCAAGGAGTACTGGATAGGTCAGTGGTTCGCCTCTTATGTTGTCTCTGTAACCTGTTCTTAACTTGATATATACATATTCGCTAATTATTTCAGTCACGTTTTTGCTACTGTATAATCCTCTGAGCTTCGATTATTTTTTAAGTAGGTCAACGATACCTTAAGTTACCATACCTTGAGTTACCATACCTTGAGTTACCATACCATACCATACTCAGACATAAGACATTTCTTGTATGGCATTTGATGTTTTATATCTTATATATCATATATCTTTCCCTTCCATTCTTTCTCCCATTGGGTAAGCATACTCGAGTAACGTTGAATAAATGTCAAGTCAACGTTACCGACGTTAAGCCAACGTCACGTCGAGAACAGGACTGACGTAAGTTGGACAACACTCTACGGACTATATAATATATATATATATATATATATATATATATATATATATATATATATATATATATATATATATATATATATATATATATATATATTTAGGGGTACCACCACTGGTTTAATTAAAGGGACCCACATCCTCGAAGAAGAAAATAAATAGTGTTCAGAGAAGACCTTGTGGATTCTCACTGAATACTTTAATCTTTTCCTCTCCTACCACCCCTATTATTTTTTTTTATTTGATTTTATTGCAATGTTACAGTTTACAGAAAACACACACTTATATAACAATATACCAATCAGTGTTCGAAGACCTCGTCCAGCTCCTCGGGGGTCGGGTGCGTACCCAAGATACAGCACGCATTTCCCCTCTGAACAGCGACACTGAGGCGCTGGAACATAAAACTGGCCGCTCTTGGGTCTCTAGTCTTCCCAATGAGTTCCTCGCCCAGCTCCTTCAGGAACTTAAGTGCACATTTACCCCAGGCGCCCAGAGTCTCAGAGCCTATTGGCACGAACCTGTAACAACGTTCTAGGTCCCTGTACTTGTTAGTTTTCTGGGTCTCCCTGAAGGTGGCCGCCCCGCCTCCCTCAGCTGCGCTGTAAGGTAGATAGGTATCAGCCAATGTGGATGCACACGTGTAGTCCCACACGACCTGTTTACCTTCCCTCCACGGCTGCAGGGTGACTCCATCTGGGCGTTTTTGGCTGTTGTCAGGTCTGCACAACTGAGGTTCCCTTTGTGCTGGGCACCCAGCTGAAGCCAAACTTCTCTTGATGATGTCATTGACTGCTTCATGTCTGGCAATCTTTCCCTGTGTCTTACGACAGATGAGACCATGGCTGCCGTATTGGTCTGCCCGTGCATGGCCGCAAATACACCGGTGCTCGGTGGAGATAGGGGCGGCAAGGCGCAGAGCAACACCAATACTTAGGGTCCGATGGTCCAGGCGGGTGCCCAAGGCGGAATTAGGGACTGCCAACAGGAAGTCCCCGGCATGGGGCGCTTGCACAGCTAGAAGACGCGCTTTGTCCTTCCTGGAAGCTGCCTCCAGCAATGATGTGGCGATGTTCTCCACTATGGGGCTATCCCATTTGGACTGTTTGCAGTCATTTGGAAAAGTCGGTCGAGGATGAGAGTTGACGAGAGTGTCCCACTGACCGGCTCCTTCCGCGAATTTGGGATCATGAATCCCAATGGAGTCTCTTAGGTGTTCCGGTAGTATTTCCTTAACTAATTCACCTGTTGCACTGGTCGAGGATAAAAATGCTGGCAATATGTAAGTACATAGGTATGACGTCGACCAAGCTGACGAGGCGTTTGACATGCCATCTTCAATCTGGTGCCCCTTGGAATCACATGAGACAAGCCCATGACATTACTCTAACAAGAGAAATGTTGAACAAGAATACCTGCATAATAGACAAAACCCAAGATGCAAGAAGATTACAAATTCTTGAGGCAATTCGCATAAGAATAGAGCGACCTACCATGAACACCCAAATCACTGAACTATTTACTCTACCCACCATGAGAGTAAGGACAAGACAAGAACATATTGATGCCAACACAGAAGACACTGTCCAACATAATAGGCCAATTACACTGGATTAATATTTGTGTTTAGATAGGAGCTGCCTCGTATGGGCCAATAAGCCTTCTGCAGCCTCTATGTTTCACCTCACATTTATCCCTTATGTATCCCCCATGTTTTCACCTGTATATATATATATATATATATATATATATATATATATATATATATATATATATATATATATATATATATATATATTCATATATATATACATATATATATAACTGAAAACTCATACCCCAGAAGTGACTCGAACCCATACTCCCAGGAGCAACGCAACTGGTATGTACAAGACGCCTTAATCCACTTGACCATCACGACCGGACATAATGAGGTGATAGCCGAGGCTATTTGAACCACCCCACCGCTGGCACTCGGATAGTAATCTTGGGCATAGCATTTTACCAAATCACCTCATTCTTTGGCGCACACGTGAGGAACACAAATGCGAACAAGCCTGAATGGTCCCCAGGACAATATGCAACTGAAAACTCACACCCCAGAAGTGACTCGAACCCATACTCCCAGGAGCATTGAGCATCTCCCAGGAGATGGTCAAGGGGATTAAGGCGTCTTGTACATACCAGTTGCGTTGCTCCTGGGAGTATGGGTTCGAGTCACTTCTGGGGTGTGAGTTTTCAGTTGCATATTGTCCTGGGGACCATTCAGGCTAGTTCGCATTTGTGTTCCTCACGTGTGCCCCAAAGAATGAGGTGATTTGGTAAAATGCTATGCCCAAGATTACTATCCGAGTGCCGGCGGTGGGGTGGTTCAAATAGCCTCGGCTATCACCTCATTATGTCCAGTCGTGATGGTCAAGTGGATTAAGGCGTCTTGTACATACCAGTTGCGTTGCTCCTGGGAGTATGGGTTCGAGTCACTTCTGGGGTGTGAGTTTTCAGTTGCATATTGTCCTGGGGACCATTCAGGCTTGTTCGCACATATATATATATATATATATATATATATATATATATATATATATATATATATATATATATATATATATATATATATACATATATATTATATATATATATACATATATATACATATATATATACATATATCTATATACATAATATATATATATATATATATTATATACATATATATATATATATATATATATATATATATATATATATATATATATATATATATATATATATATATATATATATATATATATTGGTAGCAGTCTTTCCTGTTGACATATATTATTAAATATGACCGAAAAAGTAAGATTAATAATTCTAACACGAATTTTCTCAATCTTTCGTACATTTCTTTTCACTGTTGGTGGTAATTCAAAAATCAATTCTCCAAAATTCATTTTTATTTCTAGTCTGACGCGACACTTGAGCGTGTTTCGTAAAACTTATTACATTTTCAAAGACTTTAGTTTACACATACACAACTGAATAGAACTTACACATCTCCGATTTGTTTATATCTACATTTGAGTGAGGTGGATGGGGTGAGGTGGTATTTAATAGGGTATTAATTTCATCAACACAAGACAGAACACGAAACAATGGGTATTGAATAGAAGTGATTGTAGAAAGCCTATTGGTCCATATTACTTGATGCTTCTATATTGGAGCGGAGTCTTGAGGTGGGTAGAATATAGTTGTGCATTAATTGGCTGTTGATTGCTGGTGTTGACTTCTTGATGTGAAGTGTCTCGCAAACGTCAAGCCGCCTGCTATCGCTGTATCTATCGATGATTTCTGTGTTGTTTACTAGGATTTCTCTGGCGATGGTTTGGTTGTGGGAAGAGATTATATGTTCCTTAATGGAGCCCTGTTGCTTGTGCATCGTTAAACGCCTGGAAAGAGATGTTGTTGTCTTGCCTATATACTTAGTTTTTTGAGGTTTACAATCCCCAAGAGGGCATTTGAAGGCATAGACGACGTTGGTCTCTTTTAAAGCGTTCTGTTTTGTGTCTGGAGAGTTTCTCATGAGTAGGCTGGCCGTTTTTCTGGTTTTATAGTAAATCGTCAGTTGTATCCTCTGATTTTTGTCTGTAGGGATAACGTTTCTATTAACAATATCTTTCAGGACCCTTTCCTCCGTTTTATGAGCTGTGGAAAAGAATTTTCTGTAAAATAGTCTAATAGGGGGTATAGGTGTTGTGTTGGTTGTCTCTTCAGAGGTTGCATGGCGTTTCACTTTCCTTCTTATGATGTCTTCGACGAAACCATCGGACAAGCCGTTGTTGACTAGGACCTGTCTTACCCTACAGAGTTCTTCGTCGACTTGCTTCCATTCTGAGCTGTGGCTGAAAGCACGGTCGACATATGCGTTAACAACACTCGTCTTGTATATATCTGGGCAGTCGCTGTTGGCATTTAGGCACATTCCTATGTCCCTAATTCAATTATGGCAATTCCACGACCAAGAGATGGCTTCCTGAACCTTGCAGGAATTAACCTCACTGAGGACCAAGTCACTCTCCTAAATCTGGGCATAAACTGTCACGTTATGTCCAGACCGAGTGAGAGGGCCCGGAAAGTGGAGTTGGAAATTCTGTTGGACGACATATTCGACCTCGAGACACAAAAAAAGGTCACTACCAAAGATACCTTACAAGCAGAACTTATTGCAGAAGGAGGAAAGAATCGAGGCAATTACAGAAGCACCATACTGTCCCCCGAGCTCAAAGCGGCAGCTAAAAGCCTTCGTGAGAACAAGGAGATAGTTGTCAGGAGAGGTGACAAGTCGCCAATATACGTCATTCTTAAAAAAGACGAATATCTGGCGAAAATTAACCTCATACTCTCTGACCAAACTTAATTCCAAAGGGTAACGAAGGACACTACAGCCGAATTGAAAGCAAAGGTCAACAAACTAATCGAAAATGTGAACGCCAAGAAATCAGGACTCCACCTGCCAAAGATAATTGGGGAATATAAACCTGGATATGTGTATGGAAATGTCAAGACACACAAGCCTGGAAACCCACTTCGGCCATCATTAGCCAGATACCCACACCCACGTACAGACTGGCGAAGCGA